GATTGTGCTGGCCAGGAAAGATGGTTAATATTTTCATTATTCATCCATTCTTGAGTATATCGTGTTCTGTGAATAGGTGCATTGTCATCTTGATAGATGATATCATCTCTGAACATTGCAATTAATTCATGGTGAAAAGGTACCAGATGATCTTTTAATACCTCAATATATCTTCAAGCATTAATTGCTCCTGCGCCATTTCTTTCCTCCATAAAAACCAATAGCCCTTTTTCACCATCCACAAAACATTCCCATACCTAATACTTCTTTTTCCACTTCTAAATGTTGGTACCATAAAATGTGGCTTGTATCGATCACCTTTCATTCTCTATACAATCATTTTTACATAATCAACCGTATTTAGAAGATAAGTCACAGGATTTTTTAATGAAATTATTAAAAAAATGTATAATTTTTATAATAAATAAAGATTGAAAGGCAAAAGTTGCAAATCAACTCTTGACGCCTCAGAACAATTTCTAGTAAAAAAAAAAAAAGTAAAATCTGGATAATATTATTAAATATTGCCCAGAGAATCAATTCGATCCTATGGCTCAAATCATTCTTCCAATTTGTTATGAGTATGGCAAATGGGTTGAAAAGGATGAACATAAGGCATTCATTTATTATCAAAAATCTGCAAAGATGGGGATCACTGATGGAATAAATAATGTTGCAAGTTGTTATTTTTCTGGATTTTGAGTTGAAAAAAATGAACTTAAGGCATTCAAATATTTTCAAAAACCTGCAGAGATAGGGGACGCTGGTGGAAAAAGGAATGTTGGATATTGTTATGATAAAGGAATCGAAATTGAAAAGGTGGACATAATACATTCATTTATTATCAAAACTCTGCAGAGATGGGTAACTCTAGAGGGGCATATAATGTTGAATGTTGTTAGAAAAATGGAATTGGAGTCAAAAAGGATGCGCAAAAGGCTTTTGAATATTATTTAAAAAGTGTTGAATATGGATATAGTTGTGGGATGCATCAAGTTGGTCGGTGTTATCAAAAAGAGATTGGTAGAAAAGAATAAGGATTTAGCTCTTGAATGGTATTTAAAATCTGCTGTTGCCCAACGTAAATGTAACCTTCATAAATATTTCCATTGGATTGAATACGATAATTTTAGAAATATTGAAGAAGTAGGTAAAGGTGGATTTTCAGTAGTGTATAAAACATCGTATGAAACATAGGATGAGGCTGTAATCAAGATAATAAAAATTCGCATAAGAATAACCCACTTTTTTTAAATGAGGTATTTTTTTCATGTTAACTTATATTATCATAAATTAGTTTAATTGTAATTTAATTATTTTTTTAGTTGAAGGCGTATCAAAAATTTAGGAAATATTATGGCGTATCAATGGATAAAATACTGGAGACATTATTTTAGTGTTAAATTATGCCAAATTTGGATCATTAAACGAAAATCTTTAAATTATATTTAAATTGGAGTGGAAAATTATATTATGTGATCTTATTAACGATCTATCAAACATTCATTCTAAAAAATTTATACAACGAAATTTACATTCTGGTAATATTTTGCTGAAAGAACGATATGAAGCTTATATAAATCTAGGTTTATCAATAACAATTGACGAAAAACAGGATGGCCATATTTATGGTGTTTTGCCATATTTAGACCTGAGTCTTGAAAGAAAACACTTCACACAAGCTACTAATGTTTACAGTTTTGGAATTATTATGATAGAAGTATTAACTGGACGAAGATCTTTCGAAAATTATAATTTTGACTGAATTAGCATCCATGATTTGTCATGGATTACGCCCTGAATTTTTTTACGGACGCTAAAATGCTATGTTAAATTATCCAAACAATATATTAATTCAGATATGGAAAAAAGACAAACAGCTGTTCAGATTATTAATAATTTTGAAAAATGGAAAAAAATTGTCGAACAATGTATTGAAAAAAAGATCTAAGGGTGTTGGAATTTTTAATAAACTTGAAAAATGGAAAAAAATTTATAACGTTAAATAGTAGTAACATTAAATTAGACAAACCAAATATCATATTTATTCAGATAAAGAGATCAAACAACAATTTTTAGAAGCTGATAAATCAATCAAAGAATTGCCAATTACCTCACAAAAACATGATAATATAATGTATAATTCTAAACTTATCGATATGAGAAATCACTTCAGATCTTGAAAATTTTAAGATTAATCAGTAAATTAATCAAGTAAAAAAAAAATCCGTATTGATAATATGGTGTATGTCATGTGATCTCGACATGGCAATACAGTGGACAGGTAGAAATATGAATATTGATGATTACATGAAAGCATTTAAACTTAGAGCCCTTACATACGAGGGTGTGATTGAGTGGATTCCATTTGACAGATTATCTACATTGAAGAAATCGGCAAAGGAGGATTTGGATTTATATATAGAGCAACCTGGTTGGATGGAATACGAAAATTGATGGCGATGATTTTAATTATGTAAGAGGATGTGAACCGTCCAGCCTCGTTACACTCGACCTTCTTTGGTCCAAAGACAAATGACAATCAAATTCTTTTGATTTTTTAGACGAGGTAGGTTAAAATTGTATTCTATAAGATTGTGTAATAATTGGTATTAAACTAACGATTTTATATAATCTCTAAGTTTAAAAATCATATGCAGTGTATATTTTATGAGTTGACTTCGGATATATGGTTTAACTTGTAACTCAAAAACTAATGAATACTTTATGGTGTTTCAGTATGCTGATGATGGAAATATTCATAAGTTTTTATGTTCAAATATTAATAAACTTATTACATGTGAATTTAAATTAAACAACTCAAAAAATATATCTTATGATCTAGTTCGAATTCATGATGCGGGGTATATTCATGCTGATTTCCATAGTGGTAACATTCTTTATTATAAAGGTACTTTTATGTTTCGGATCTAGGATTATCTATGAAAAAGAATGAAAATAGTTCAAAAGGTGTTATTTATAGTATTATACCTTATATTGCTTCTGAGGTTTTGTCAGGTAAAGAACAGTTTATATAAAAGGCTGATATCTATAGTTTTGACATTATTATAGCTGAAATAACAACTGGTCAAAGACTTTTTGATAGCTATAAATTTGATTTTGAACTTGCAGGATCGACCAGAGTTTGCTTTCAGAACTCCTGACTGTTATGTTGAATTAGCTAACCAGTGCATGAACTCGGATCCATGAGAACGACCTATTGCTCGAAGTATTTATTATACAATTGGTAGTTGGCTTGATAAGTTAAATTCAAATGATGAAAATGGCAAATAAAAAAAAGAACACGAGCAAATTTTATAATATTTTTATAATGAAGCTATGACAATGTGTGACTATTTTACATATAATTTGCAGGTATAATTAGTTTCGGCAGAAGTTAAATTCTATCAAAAGTTATACTATTAATTAAGTCACGCTCTTTAATTGACGTCTAAATTTGCGTTAGTGATTAAAGTTACGCGACATATTATTAATGCGCACAATGGGATTTACGCTATAAGAACAACTGTGACTGGTTGTATCTCGAAAAATTCATTGGGGCATCACTAATCAGGACTATTTTCTGTAGTAGAATCTCATGTTCAAGTGTTAAATGATTTTGAGAAAGCGTAAATTAGCAATTCTTGAATGTGTGCCAGGTTGGTGGCGCATAAGCCACAAGTGACCGATTGTCACGTGTTAAATTCTAAAAT